AAAAAAAAAAAAGCTGAGGCAAAAGATGAGTACAAGTGCCTTACATATTTAATTCTAGCCTCTAGGGAGGCTGAGGTTTAAGGATCCAGGTTTGAAGCCAGCCCAAGCAGAAAAGTCTGTGACTCTTATCTCCAGTTAACCGTCAAAAAGCCAGAAGTGGAGCTGTGGTTTGAGTGGTAGAATGTTAGCTTTGAGCAAAAAAGCTCAGGGACTGTACCAGGCCCTGAGTTCAAGGACTTGCACGCACACAAACAATAAGCATCAGCTGAGGTAGGGGATTCAGGACTAGCCTGGGCTATATCATAAGACTGAGTCTCAAAATAGTTGATATTTGGTTTCTTTTTAGCTGGATAACTGGGGCAAGTTTTTTCCAACTCTATACATAACAGAGTACATTTCTCTTTTTCTTTTTTTTTTTTTTTGAGTACTGGGGTTTGAACTCAAAGCCTTGTGCTTACCAGGCAAGAGTTACCATTTAAACTACTTGCCTAATCCTTAATAGGGTACAGGGCTAACAGGAAGGTTCTGATCCTTGCTGCTTTCTTCTGCCTGTCCCCTGGCAAGGAGAACCTACATGCAGTTTTCTTTCGCTACCTCTATGAACCTGCTACCCAGTGAGCATTTCTGCTGCCTGCCCAGTTCTGTCCCAAGAGGACAGGGGACAAAACTACCTCCCTGTCTTGAGTAGAGTGCCCTTCTGTATAGATCAGGGCCCCTCCATCCCGCCCCATCATCATTGAGACTTGATCCTCATTTTGTTTTATTTCAGCTTCAAACTGTTCCAAGCCTCATCTATGCCAGCCAAATATGTGGAAGACAAAGACAAGATGCTGTCTCGGACACTGCAGCTGGTAGAGCTAGCCAATGAAACATGGCTGGTGACTGGTCGGCATCCTTTGCCTATCATCACTGCAGCCGCTTTTCTAGCATGGCAGTCTCTGCAGCCTTCACATCGGCTAACGTGTTCCCTTGCCCGATTTTGTAAACTGGCAAATGTGGACCTGCCCTACCCTGCTGCCTCCCGCTTGCAGGAACTGCTGGCCGTGCTGCTGCAGATGGCTGAGCAGCTGGCCTGGTTGCAGATTCTGAAACTTGACAAGCGATCTGTGGTTAAGCACATTGATGACCTTCTCCAGCACCGACACCTGCTAATCCGCATGGCCTTTCGAGATGGGACAGCAGAAGTGGAGTCCCAGGAGGAGCTTCAGGGACAACAGCAAGAACAGGAAGAAGTGGAGGACAATTCCTTAGATAAGCCCAAAGGGAAGCGACCCGCCAGTCCTGCCCTTCTCCTCCCACCCTGCATGTTGAAGCCCCCAAAACGGATCCATAGCACATCCCCTGTCTCCACAGTGACTGGAGATGAAAACATTTCTGATAGTGAGATAGAGCAATACTTGCGGACCCCTCAGGAAGTAAGGGACTTTCAGAGAGCTCAAGCTGCTAGCCAGGCTGCCCCTAACCCTCCTTGATGCTCTCCATTTGGGGGTACTTTGTCTTGTTGTGAGCAGCATGATAATAGGCCTGTCATGGCACAGGAAGTAAGTGGACTTGAATAGTATCTTGTTTGAAGGAACCAAGGGGATCCAGTCAGCTGGTCCTGAGGTCCTGGAGTAGGAGCTGGGAGGAACAAGTTACAAATGTTTTACATTCTGTGGGATGGTTTTTCCCCTAAAACACTTACGGAAAATGCCAGACTCTGCTGCCTCAGTTTGAATTCTTCACTGCTCTTGTGGAGCAGCTGGCATTCCCAGTGGTACCAACCTTCGGAGAAGCAGTAGCTGGGGAAATCTTGGCTCTGTGTCCATTCTAGGCACCACATGTATGGTGTTAAAAGATCCTCTATCTCATTAAGAAATGACTGTGGGTGGATTGCAGCTATAACTCAAAAGGGCTTTGCAAAACTTTAATATATTAAAACAAGAGGCATCTTCTAGAAAACATTTCTATTGTATAAAACCCAAGCTTTTTAAAAACATGTTTTCTTTGGCACTTTTCATTCCCTCCCTCCCCTTTCCCCAGCGTATTGCAAAAAGCTCTCCAGTGCTAAGGCATAGGCAGGGTATGTAAACAGCAGCCAGCATATGTGGAAGAATAATACAAAGCTTTTTTTCTTCTAATGTCGTCTGTGCAGCAAGCATAAATAACAGGGCTGATCTCGAAGAACATGGTCTCTCCCCTCCCTGCAGTCCTCTTCCACCTGACCACATGAGGGTGACATGAAGATTGAGAGGGACCTGGGCCAGACTTGGGCTCCCCGTTGCTCTTCAGAGGCCCAAGGTTCCCTGTACTTCCATATAGCCCTATAGTGAAAGTCTGGTGATTGCTTTTAGATAGGGGAAAATACTGGTTGGTGCTGGGGTTTTAGAGTAGTGAAGACAGAGGCCTCTTGGTGAGCAGCAGGAACCCTAGCTGTTGGCCTAGGGCTTAGCTTGGGCTCTATGAGCTGGAAGTCTGGTTTGACACGTTGACATTTTCTCCCTACAGTGGAGTTAGATTATAGGGTTGCTTCTATATGGCCTCATGGAGGCAAGGAGGTGCTCTTCCTTGGTCCCTTGGGAGTTGGGAGGCTGACACCAAATGGCAGATGGCTCTTAAAATTGAGCATTTAAGTGCCTTTCCAAACACTAGCTGCCATTAGGGTAGAGCCACTCTTCCAGAACGTTGTTTTCAGGTACTGCCCAGATCCAAGTCCCAGCTCCTTCAGCTTGTCAGGCACCTGGCTAGGCAGCTTCTCAGGTGTGGGTTTGGGCTTTGTCGTGAGGCCCCTCTCAGTTGCAAGGAAGGTGTTTGTCCCGCTTCCCGGGAGTGGTGCCCTTAACTGCGCCCTTCCCACAGGACCAGTTCTCCGGAGCTGCCTCTCGTCCGCCCCACTCTCCTTGCATGGTTAATCTGAAAAGCAGCACCTGTTACTCCCCTGGGCCTGACACCTGGCTCACCTGCTAGGACGGCTTCCTGAACCAAACGCGGGCGGGCCGTGAGGAGAGAGGGCAGTCCCCGGCTCCCCTTAAGGCAGTGTGGACCGGAGTGCGGGGAGCACTGAGGGAGGAGTCCGCCCTGCCTGGGCTGGCTCTTCCGCTCTGTTTGTGGGCCCCTCCACAGTCAGGACTTCTCTCCTTGGGAGGACACCGGAGAACTTGGCGGTCGGATGTGGATCTTGCGTGTTTCTGGATTGCCTGTCGCTGCCTCCGTGTCGGCGCGCCTGGCACGTGGCAGCCCCTGCCCCGCAGCCAGTGGCGGGCGGGCGGGGTGCGGCCTCCGCCGTGCCATACCAGGACAGCGCTCGTCTCCGCCGGCGCCGCGGAGGAGCGGCCGGCCTGCCCCACTGCGTCGCCCGCCCCCCCTGCCCTAGACGGTGGTCTCGCTCTTCCAGAGGCCGGTCTTCATGCAGCCGCCCCCGGCAGCCTCGGCGGCCCCGGGGTCGTCGTACTTGCCCCCCTTCGGGGCGCCGTTGAGCGGGTACGAGCGGCGCTTGCTGTCCTTGTCGGGCGCGCCGCCCCGGA